TAATTAGAACCTGTCTTCGGCATTCTCATCTTAAAATTCTTACCTTTCACATCTTGCAGACATAATCTTTGGAAGGGCTGGATACAAGTGTGTGATACAGAACAGGTTTTCAAAGAGCGCTCTGTGGAACCCTGGGAGATTTCCAGGTTCTAAACACTGTCCCAGCACTCCTATGCACTTGTCCTGCACGTTGACATTTGTACTGGGTTGCAGAAGCAAGGCTGCAGTGCCACTGCTGAGACCCTAGTGGGGGCCAGAGTGCTGTCCGTGCCAGTGCTCAGTTTACTCTGCAGCCGCTGTAGAAAATGAAATTTAAACGCGCAATCCTTTTCTCCTGCTTTGTTTTTGGGCTTTGCAGTTCCCTTTCAGCCAATGTTTTCATTTCTGTGAGTGGGGCATTCCGCACCTCAGGGAAACCACCAGTCCTGCCTGAACCAGGCCAGGTCACTAGGTTCCCCTGGGAGGCTTTGGCACACTCAGCAAGTTCTTCGTCCTTGAGGTAGAAGCTGCAGAGTTGGTTCTGGTGTCCAACATGTCTGTTTTAAAGTTAGAGGAGGATCTGGTGGGGAAATTGTTTTAGATGTATGGGAAGCTTTAGATGATATGCAACTCTCAGGAAGCCTGGCACTGTGGTGACAACTGCCATTGTCTTGGTGTCAGTGGCATCTTTGAGGAATGGTCCTCGGGCCTGCAGAACTCAGAATCACCCGAGTTAGCTGCAGAGGGGACAGCAAGCAACCCCCATTCTAGGAATCTGCAGGGTGCAAGGAGTTGAAGTTGGAACGCTTGAAGGCTGTTCAGAGAGGTCTGCTAACACTTTCTTCAGACCGTGTGGTGCTGAAAGTGTTGAGAACACTGCTTTATTCTCTGTGTAGCCAGAGAAGATCTGGGTAGCAGAAACCCACAAGCACACAGCCTGTCCTCCAAGGCGGCGGTGTTTCAGGAGGGCAGTGGGGGCATCATCCTACCTTAAGCAGGCCTATCCAAGACGTGGGCTGGTGACGGTAATTGGTATGTGTTGTGTGCCTCCAAACTTAGGCTGCCGTGGTGGCTGCTGGAGGCTGGTGTACAGGGGAGGGAGGCACTCTAGAGGAGGTAAACCTAAGCAGGAGTAAATGTGCTGAGGACGTAAAGCAGTTGGAGGGAGGATGTGAAGCGAGCGAGCGGGTACTACTGAGAGGATGAAGGTGTTTATCACAGGATGCAGGGATGCTGGGGGAGTCAGTGAGACTACTGACAGCCAGAGGAGGGGCCTAAGGATAGACAGCCTTGAAACTAAAGTCTGACCTTGAAGTGATAGGCCAGGAAGTTATGTATGCAAGAGGTGGCATGTGAAAAGGAACCTAAGGACAGGAAATTTCCAGTGCCCCCCATCATGTGTATGTGTGTGTGGGGGACTTCTGAGCCTTCTCAGTTGGCATGGTGATGAGTCCACCGGTTGCCACAGGAACGGAGCTGCAGAGCTGCTTACAGCCCCTTGCCCTGCCTCCTTCCTCCCCAAGAAAGCTGGTTTCATTTTAACTCTAACTTTTTTTCCCCAACAATGAGACCCTTTATTATCTCTACTGTTAGAGAGAAAAAGTCTTGTAGGTGGCATCACCTAAAGGCCTGAAGGACAGTGACCCGGAAAGGAAGGGCCCGTACTGAACTGTGAAGGGAAGTGTGTTTCCAGTGCCTCCAAAGAAAGCCTGAAGCACTGGAGCTCAGGAGGGGGAGTGAAAGTGGGAGGATCCTGTGGCTTGTGGGCTCTGGGAGGCGGAGGAATGGCTCTGTGTGGAATGAGTTGTCCCTGTTGAATTGCAGAGCACAGTATTGGAGACCCATGTCTCTCTTCCAGGCAGGGGTGCTGGATGCTACATGGGCCTTCCTTAGGCCACCTCCGCAGAGGCCTGGTGCCCCATGTTAACCTCGGCCTGCTTCCAGGTGCTTTGGCGCTGTCTCCAAACCCCTCAACAGAGGGTCTGGTTTACAAGACGTTAGGTAACTATAAGTCACCTACTTAGACAAGGGGCCCTTGTATGGAAGTAGTCCTTACGAAGCCTGTCCACGCAGCCATGCTGTACAGAGACTGCTGATCCAGCAAGCCACGAGAGGCCCTTGATCTCTCCACTCTGGCAGGGTTGTTGGTCCCTGGGTCTGAGCCAGGCCTTGCAGGAGCCTTCTGGGTGGTAGCTGTGTCTGGAAGGCTTTTGTGGCTTCTTGAAGCTCCTGCTCCCCTTAAGTTAGTGCCAGCAAAGAAAACAACATTCTGCTCAGGCTGTGTGTCTGCTTCCAAGCTCTCATCTCACATACCCTTGGTCTGCTGTTTTGCTTTAAAAAAAAAAAAAAAAAGAATAAGAATAAGAATAAGAACGAATTCTTGCTACAGAGGTTCCCTGTGAAAGGTGATGGACTAAAATGGACAAGAAGGACTAGGAAGAAGGTGACAGAACCCCAAGACATTTGCTGTCTGACCTAGGAATCCGACACAGACCTCAAGACACGAGCCACTTCACTTTTCCTGGTGCTGTGTTGAGCCTGGTTCCTTAGGCAGGGCCAGTGCTGGGATAGCCCAGCTGTCTCTTGCTGGAGATGGACCTACCTGGGCCTGTTCATCTGCAGGACCTCTTCTCCCATCTGTGGACCTTCTTTCCTTTAGAACTCAGAACTCTGGCAGCCATGAGATTGTCTGTCAATGAACGTATGAACTGTGAATGGATGTGAAAGATGTCTTGAGTGACCAATGGACACATAGCTGGGCACAGGGTTCGTGTGTGTGTGTGTGTGTGTGTGTGTATGTATGTCCATGTGTGGATTCACTATAGTTCTTTCATTGAGGACCACATAGTAAAAGGCAGTGAATCTTTGGTGTTCTCTGAGCACAGATTTCTCTAAGGACCGCTCGTCTGTGGCTTGGAGCACTTGTGCCCCCTTTTCCTTGGCCAGCCGCAGAAAAGATGAAGAAGAATGTTGTTATGAATGCTGTCTGTGGGCTATGCAGGCTCCACTGTGAGAGCTATATTAAAAGTTCACATATTCTCTCTCTCCCCTTATAAACACTTGGATACACATGTGTGCCTTCATTGTCCTCAAAACTCGGTCTCTTAGTCACTCCTGGACAATAGCCTGGGAAGTTGTTGCATGCTGCCCCACACCACTCCTGACCCGGCACAATTTTAAGAAAGCACCACATTTTGATCAGAGCAGGGAGCTTTTGACTCCGCCCAACACTCCTGCCCCGCCCCACACTCAGTACCGAGCCTGCAAGGCAGGGGTGGGCAGTGGTACTTTGTGGTTTGTTTTCCTCTGATGTGCCCTGCTGTCCTTCTAGCTTTGGGATCCTTAACATTCACTGCACGTTGGAGTCATTTTGAGAGCTTTATAAAAGCTGTTCGCCGGGCTCACCTGCTGATGCGTGCCTAAAAGCCTGGCTGAGTAAGACCTATTAAATAAAAAGTAGTTTAAGAAGAAATAGGTATAGCTCAGTCAGTGATAAAATGCTTCCTGGTATGAAAAGACACTGAGTTCTGTTCTCAGCACCACACACACACACACACACGCGTGCGCGCGCGCGCGCGCGCACACACACACACAGACAAACGCATGCACATGTACACACACAATATAGTTACTTGGGCTCTATCCTGTGGAAGGATTTAAAAGGTACCCCAAATCTCTAATATGCAGCCAAGCCTGTGCCTTGTTCCCCTCTGGTTTGACATCCATATGCAGGTATAAAACCAGGTCAAGATTTGACTTTAGATCAGAGCCATATAGCACCCCCATTTTAGCCCCATTTTAGCGTTCAGATTTATAGGTGTAAAAGATGAGGCCCAGAAAGGGGCCCCACTTCTTTTCATGCAGTGATTGTGTGTTTCTTGAAGGAGAAGCCTCAGGCATGAGGACCATAGTTTTAGACTTGTCTTTCATGCTTGGTGTATAATCGTTTCTAAGGTGAAAGTCCCAACTAGATTTCTTTATTCTAAACTTACAAAGTTCATACTTCAGCAGTGGAAACCATGACATTATCTTTCTGGGTCAGGCTTGCCAATCTCACCTGTGAGGCCCAGTGACTCAGGGGAGGGCTGCATGCCTATCTTTGGCCCGTAGGGTCATGAGTCACTAGTGGCTCCGGTCTTGTGCAAAACTTAGGAAGAAATTTCAGACGCCTGGTTTGAAGCAATTGCTGAAAATTGTTCTTTTTTATTTTTCAAATGGAATTGTTGCTCGGGAAGGATTTTAATAAATAATAATGTGACTCCCCGGAGTAAACTGAAAAACAAACAAACATGCAGAGCTTTAGTCTTGGTGTCCTCACAGAGGTCTGTCAGAGCAGGAAAGGAAAGTGGCCGATCTGCCAGAGTTCCCACAGTATGCGCTGTCAGTGTCCCTGAAGTATGAGCTCATGTTTGGTAGCCGTGGGTCCAAGGGTAGCACGGAGTTTAACTGAACAAGAAGTACACTAGTGTGTGTGTGTGGGGGGGGCAGATAAAGGAGCTGAATCGCCATTGCTTGGCTGAGGACCAAGCCCAGGCCCCTGGTTTCATGGCAATGTGAGACTCAGAAGCCTCACGGGAAGCCAGAGCACTCTGTGTCTCAGCCTGGGACATTCTCTTGCTGACACATGGTCCGGCACAGCGGCCACGTCTTTTCTGTCATATATTTTGGGAGAGACAGCTGCTCTTCTCGATTTTCTTTTTCTGGCCTGCTCCACTCCCTCCTTTCTGTCCTCTCCACCTTGACCATTTCAAACTCCGTGCCGCCACTTTTCAGTCCCACAGAAGGCTGTGGGCGCTGCTACCAGCTGACTGCTTCATGCCTTCATTCAGCAGGTCTTCGGAGACTCATGGGTCAAGCACGGTGGGTGGCTGGATTTGCGACCATTCTGAGAAGTGGCTCTGGAATTTTATGAATGAAATAGGGGCACTCACGCCGCAAGTTGCCATGTGGGGGACATGAGTCACGCAGGAAGCAAGGGCACGTGATTGGCACTAACACACACATCATTTTCTTTCTGCCAGCTCCTCCCCCTGCCTGCTACAGCCCCAGCAGTCTTGTGCAGATCGTAGAAGACCCCACCTACTTCTACCCTGACTTGCAGCTCTATTCTGGGAGGCATGAGGCACCGACTTTGACAGCGGAGGCAAGCGGAGGCCTAAGGGGGAAGGGTGGTAAGTTCTCTTACTATCGGTGTGTTGGGGACACAGGGTATCAAAGTAGCATCTCTTCTGGATTAAGTAACCCCCTGTACCTGTGACTTCGCTTTCCACCATTTTGGTTACATAAGGTCAATGGCAACCTGAAAATATTAATTGAAATGTGCTAGAAGTAAACAGCTCATACACCTTTTTCTTTCTTTTATTTTTTTCCCTTTTTTTTTTTTTTTTTTTTTTTTTTTTGGAGACAGGGTTTCTCTGTGTGGCCTTAGCTGTCCCGGACTTGCTTTGTAGACCAGGCTGGCCTTGAACTCACAGAGATCCACCTGCCTCTACCTTCTTGAGTGCTGGGATTACAGATGTGTGCTGCCTCCCCCAGCCAGTTTGTAAGTCTTAAATATTGTCACTGCTGTATGTTGTTATAAAGGGTCTATTTTAATATTGGCTCTTACTGATAATTTCATGTTATATGTAATATGTGTTAATTTTATACACACACACACACAAACCACATGGTTAGCACTGTCCTTGACTTCAGGATTCCACAGAGGGCCTTGGAATATATCCCTGAGGGTGAAGGAGGGGTGGCTGTCATTCAGACATTTCTCTACTCTCTAGTAGCCTTAACTCACCAGACTAAGCTAAGAATCTTCTCACGCTAGGAGATTTGTTTTAATTCTTGTTTGTACCATGATGTTAATAAGACCATTTGGAGCTGGGAAAAATAGTTCAGTTGGTAAGTACTTGTCATCTGAGCACTAGGACCTGAGCTGGCTCCCAGAATGTAAAGAAACTAGGTGTGGTAGTACATGCTTGTCCCTCCAACACTGGTGAGGTGGAGAGAGGCAGGTCCCTGGGACTCACTGGTGTAGTTATCATCCCCCAGGTCCCAGAGAGAGACTGTGTCTCAAAAGAACAAGGTGACCTTCTTCCCCACCCCCAAGGCTCAGAGAGCATTGTGGGAGAGAGGGCAGAAAGAACATGAGAGCTGGAGAATGGGAAGGAGGGCTGTGAGATGCTGTTTTCAAGACATGGCTGGTGGATACTTGAGCTCCCAACAGCTGTGGGAACCCGCACAAGACCAAGGCACCAAGATGAGTCAATACCCCAGCTGCAGTAGGTTACAAATAGATTAAAAATTAAAGGAAGAAGAAAGAGAAGACAGAAAAGAAAGGGAGAGGATGATGGTGGGAGAGCATGAATGGGTGGTGCCTGGGGAGACTAGGAGTGGGTAGGATCAAGGTACATTATTTACATGTGTGGAATTGCCAGAGAACCAAAAAAGGACATTCTATTAAGAAAAAATACAATACCTGAAGTTGTGGCCTGCGCACACACAGGCTCACTCAAACTGACACGCATATTCACCCTCCCCTCTGTGAAAAAGACAATTTTGCTCCACGGTATGACATGACTTCCTCTAGGAAAATCTTCCTGTCATGGTACTCAGACGCTTCAGAATTACATCGTCTGAACCCATGTTATTCTCTGCTCAAATGCTAAATACGTTCTCCTGCCTTTTCTCAAATCCTTTGCCTCTTTTCCCCTTCTCTACTTTCTTTTTTCTTTCTTTCTTTTTTCTTTTTTTTCCAAATAAGTCAGAACAGCATCCTTTCAAACATCTTTTCAGGGTTGATGTCCAAGGGTAATGGAGAGAGGGGAAGCCACTTCAGAAGGGGTGCCAGGGCTCCTGGCAATTGTATTCTCCCCTTTCCAATGTAAAGGAATTTAGTAGTTTTCCTGCCTTTTGAGACCCAGTCCTTTGATTATCCAGCCACATAAATGATTTTTCCCCTACTGAAATAGTATTTTTATTTTAGTCTTGTCTAAACTTTAAAAATTCTTATTTGAAGACACTTGTTCCCTTAAGTCTTACAGATCGGTGACTTTGAGGATAAATGGCTTGTTCCATTTAGGCCCATAACTCCAACCCTGAACAGTGACCTGGACGGTAGAAGGTTCACAGCACATACTCGTTAGCGAATGAGATGGCCAGTGAAACCCACACTGGACTGTCTTTCTTTGGGGCTGTTTGTTGGTTATTACAATTGTTATTGCTTAGTTTCCTTGAGTGTCTCTCTGTAACCCTGGCTAGCTTGAAGCTCACTGTATAGACCATACTGGTCTCTGGTACAGGGAAGGATGCAATCTATATTTTATGGATTGGAGGCAGAGGAGGTCAGAAGCAAGAAGCTTTGAGGCTGTTTGGAAACTCTCAGCAACTGGTTAGCAGAACCTGCATCTGGGAATGGGGAGCATGTGGGAGAGAAGTGGATGGAAGAGCAGTTTGGCATAGAAACTGGGGCTTGCTTTGACTTCTTACTGTCACCCAGTGTGAAACTTCTTAGTAATAGTCAAGAAACCAGCAAGACATAGAATACAGGAGTTGGGGAGGGAAGGAAGATGCTGGCTGTTAAGTGCCAGCAGCTACCATTACAGAGGTGGGCTGGGTCTCAGGAGTTGAAGACAAGGCTGGAAATTTTGGTCAATGGAAGCAAAAGCGGCCTCAGGAAGAGCTTGGGGAATACAGAGTAGAAGGGGCAGTAGAGCAGATGGACCCAAGAAGGAGGGTACTGAGGCGGTGGTCTAGGTGCTAAACTGGAAGAACATTTTAAACAGAGAGTAAACAACAAGGTTGAATGTTCTAGAAAGGTTACATGTGTAACGTGAGAGCTAGAAAATTCAGGTTGGATTTGGTTACCAATCAGTGTGTGGTATTTGGAACATGGGAATAGCCAGTGTGGGTTGCTTTCTGAGGACAGCTCTGAGAGGGAAAGGAGAAATGGAGGGCCATCGTAGGAGATCTGGCAGAGGGCTGTTGGTGGCTTCTTTGTGATTTATATTTTTTTGTTTGTTTGTTTTTATATGGGAAAACTTAATGTCAGTTTTTGCCACAGTAGTTCTGTTAGGAAAGGGAGATGTGGAAAGGTAGATGAAGTCACAGAGGAGGCAGGAAAGGGATGGGAGAGGAGAGCAGCTCCACAGGACATCTGAGAAATATGCTGTTGAGGCACTGCAGGATGGGGGCAGTGGTGGCTCCTTTGGAACCTGGTCTTTACATGATGCTCTGATGAGGTCAAATGGTGTCTCCTGGGAACAGCCTGTTAGCTTGGTTCCTCTTTGTCTTTCAGTAGAGGACCCTCTCTCCAACTTCCACTCCCCGAGCTTCCTGAGGACGCCAGAGGTGGAAATGAGAGGTTCTGAGGATGTGGCAGCCGGAACAGTGTTACAGCGGCTGATCCAGGAACAACTGCGCTATGGCACCCCGACTGAGAACATGAACCTGCTGGCCATTCAGCACCAGGCCACAGGCAGTGCGGGGCCAGCCCACGCCACCAACAACTTTTCTTCCACGGAAACCCTCACTCAAGAAGACCCACAAATGGTCTACCAGTCGGCCCGCCAAGAACCGCAGGGTCAAGAGCACCAGGGGGACAACACGGTGATGGAGAAGCAGGTCCGGTCCACACAGCCTCAACAGAACAACGAGGAACTGCCCACGTACGAGGAGGCCAAGGCCCAGTCGCAGTTCTTCAGGGGACAGCAGCAGCAGCAGCAGCAGCAGCCACAGCCACAGCAGCAGCAGCAGCAGCAGCAACAGCAGCAGCAGGGACAAGGGCCCCTCAGCCACACTTACTACATGGCTGGAGGTACCAGCCAGAAGTCCCGCACAGAGGGGAGGCCAACGGTGAACCGGGCCAACAGTGGACAGGCACATAAGGATGAGGCCCTGAAAGAGCTGAAGCAGGGCCACGTCCGATCCCTCAGTGAGAGGATCATGCAGCTGTCACTGGAGAGGAATGGGGCTAAGCAACACCTCCCCAGCTCGGGAAATGGAAAGAGCTTCAAAGCTGGAGCTGGGCCGTCCCCAGCCCAGCCTGCCTGCAAAGCGCTGGACCCCCGCGGCCCTCCACCTGAATACCCCTTCAAGGCCAAGCCAATGATGTCCCCAGGCAGCAAGAACCAAGATCACGGACTCTACTACAGTGACCAGCACCCTGGGGTACACCACGAGATGGTCAAACCTTACCCAGCGCCTCAGCCTGCGAGAACAGAAGTGGCCGTCCTGAGGTATCAGCCGCCCCCGGAGTACGGGGTCACCAGGTAATGGTCAGCTCATCGTTGCAAAGCTCAGCCGTGTATTTGTAGTTTTGTGAGGCATGTTAGCTTTTCATCAAAACTTTGTCTTGACCGTAGTATTGAATAAGCCATCTGGGGGCTCAGGTACGTGGAAGAAGGGGGCTGGAAACTTCTTCCATTCTTAGCAGGGGGCAGAATGAGTAAGGGTGTTGATTCCTGAGAAGTGTTATTGCTGTGTACGTGTGTCTGTGTGTAAGTAAATATATGGTGTGCGGTGTGTGTGAATGTGGTTTCCCATGTTTAGGTGCATGTAAAAGCCACAGGAAAAAATTGACTGTCATGAGTGTTCTTCCTCTGGTACCACCTGCCTTTTTCGGTTGCCTTTTAGGGTCTGTCCAGACCTCACCAATTAGGCCAGGCTGGCTGGTTAGGGAGTCCAGGGACCTGCTTGACCCTGCCTCCCCAGCACAAGCGTGTGCCATCACAGTAGCTTTCTTGATGCGGGCTCTGAGTACTGAGCTGGGCTCCCTGTGTTTGTAAGGCAAGCACTTCACTGACAGAGCCGTCTCTCCAGCCACAGTTGCTTTTCAGTCCTTTTCTGTTGTACTAATAGAGCCATTTTCTCTCCCTCCCTCTCCTCTCCCCCTCCTTCGCTTCCTTTCTTTATAGCGACGGGGTCTTACTAAGTAGAGGTAGGCTATGGTGGTCTTCAACCCTGTGGTCTTGCCTCTGTCTCTCAGAGCTGGGATTACAGGCATGCAATGCTAAACCTGACTTCATTATAAAATTCAATAATGCCTTCTTCTGGCCTGCTGAAATTCATGGTGGCTGCGTGCATGAGCACACACACACACACATTTTTTTAAAAAGAAATACTTTAAATGCTAGAATGGAGGGATTAACAAGACCATGGCAATCTTTCGTCTCACCTCCTTATTCAGTAGATGTGAAGCTAAAGAGTGGAGATTTGAACAAATGTCCAGAGCTTGCAGCGGAGGCAGCAGAACCTAGCGTCCGGCACCCAGCTTCTCACTCTTTCGTTCTAATTCAACTTATTGCCTTATAGTGTAAGTGTGTCTTCCGGTTGATGGGTGGGTTCAGTATTTCTTCATATGTGTGCCCTCTGTGCAGCCTTGGTCCACAAATGCAAGTATGGTCCCTTCCCCAAAGGTCCTTGAAGCATTGTCTTTGTCCAATCACTGGCATTCAGTGTGATGTTCAAGGTAGAAATATGCAGAACACACTAGCTGATTGGATAATAGAAAGGTGCAAAGTCAAGGCTTCTCAAGCTGCCTCTGTCCTACCTCATCTACAGAAAGAGAGTCCCAGGACAGCCAGGGCTACACAAAGAAACCCTGTCTCAAAAAAACAAACAAGAAAGCTTCCCAGAGGAGGCGACATTGACTGAGGTCGCAAAGGACTAATAAAAGTTGTAGGTAGTGGTAGAATGGCCGTCTCCAGAGGCAGGAAAGCCATGAGAATTGGTCTGGAATGAAGGGTCTGGAATGGTGTAGGGGTCAGGTGGATGACGTGACAGAGGATGTGTTCCAGCAGGGAAGTTGTGGGCAATGTTGGAGATCTCTGGAGTGTAGCAGGGAGAAGTGTGGTATTTCAGGCAGAGACTGCGTGGTGGTGTTTGTTGAGGAGATTCAGGGGTGGTGTGGGACGGTTAGACTGGGAAACTGGGCGCCTGTGAGGCCTTTCTGGGAAGTATTTGGTAGTTCAGAAAACTGGTGAGGGTGTCCAGGTAGAGACGGCAGGAGTAGAGGGGAGGCAGGGAAGCAGAACTGGGAGGATTTGGGGATTGCTTAGACCGCTGGGGAGCAGGGCCCATGTTTGAGGCAGTTGGACAGGTGACCTCTGGGGAGAATGTGGGTGTGGCCAGTGCTGGAGGGCACTGGGCTTGTGCATGAAGACAGGTGCCACCTGCTATTATTGGATGTGTCGTCACAGAGGGTTTGTCTGTGTCTGAATGAGCTAGAGCTCCCGATGTGGCTAGGTGCAGTGTCCACTGTTCACCTTCCGGGAAGGTTCTTGATGATAGGAGAGGAACAGTTTATTTTGGCCCGTGGTTTGAAAGCATCTGTTGTGGCTGGAAAGGCACAATGGAGTTTGGGGGTGGTGGGCATGGCCGAACCTTACTCTTACATCTCTGTGTGTGAGGACGAAGGGGCCCTACAGGGATGCCAGCATGCTGCTGGTTTTCTACTTGAATCCCTTTCTATTACTCAGCCTGGGATGTGGTGCTGCTCCCATTCGGTGGGTCTGCCCTCTGCCGTTCACCGACATGCACAGGGGTGTGTCTCATGGAGTGTAAACCCAGTCTAAATAAAGACCAACTGTCACTCGTGGTGCGGAACAGTTCCGAGGCGGCCTGGCCAGCACTGAGCCATCATGAGCAGCGGAACGCCCTGCAATCTTCCTAGCAGGGGTTACACCTGAGTGTGCACTGGCACCCAGGAACTCTCTTCTCTTTTTACCAAAGGAGAACTTTCACGTCAAAAGCTGCCATGCCTCTGGTATTTGTATCACATCCCAAACACTTCTCTTAGCGGCTGGGAGATTCCTAATGATCATGGAAAATCTTTCCACATGAGGTTTCCTTCCTCCTTACTGGCTTACAGCGTTATGGTTTTGTTTTATTTTTTTGTATGTTTGTGTTTTGCCTGTATGTGTGTCTGCGCACTGCTTGAGTGTTTGATGCTCCTGGAGGCCAGAAGAGGGTGTCAGGTTCTGCAGAACTGGGGTTATAGACAGTTGGAAGCCACCATGTGGGTGCTGGGTATTGAACCCTGGCCCTCTGAAAGAACAGCCAGTACGCTTTCGGTGCCATCTCTGGCAGCACATAAGCCAGACCTGTTTGTGTCTTGGCAATAAGCCATGACCTGAGGTGGGACAATGCAGAGCGGAGCACTTCCTAGAGGTCCCTGTGGTGACTTATGGATAGCACTATTCGTCTCCAAGTTCAGAGGTCAGAAAAAGACATTTCCAAGGAATCGGAGTGCTCTGCTAAGCTTGGCACTGGAACTTCCATGCCACATCAGAGTATCGAAGAAGATGTAACAGACTGGCCAGTGTGACTGGCTCTTGGGCTATAAGGCCTCTTTGTGAACTCAGGCACGGCAAGCCAGCCAGGCTCCGGCAGTGCAGCCTTTGACCAGCTAGGTGAACAAGCGTGTCTTCACATGTGCTCCAGACATGTTTAGCAGACCCGAAGTCTAGGGTTTGAACCTGAGACTCAGTGGTGTGCAGCATTATATATCACCTGACAGACAAGCAAACTCCTTGGAATCTCACCGGGCGTTCCCTGCTCCGATGCATAAGGTGTTGTATGTTTGCCGCTGATGGTGATGATTTAGGACGCTGCAGGCTGCTGAGTGTATGCCGTGCCCATGGCAACAGACTCCTGGATCACGATAGGCCCTGACCGAGGTCCCTCCACCATCTTCCTTCCTGATGCTGCAAGAGGCCGTGCTTAGGACCTAATGGCTACCCAGCAGCTTGACCCATCACGTTTTGAGACTTGGCTCTTTCTTGCCTGGAGACAAGTCTGAAGAGTGTGTGCTAGAACTTGAGGGAAGAGTGAGAGTCAGAATCCCAGTCACTCTTCCCCTGCTCTGGTACACAGAAGGGGATGTTTCTGGTGGTTGATGCTGTCCCCTTTAACTCCTGTATGAACTGCCAAGAGCAGCCTCTGGCCCAAGCATAGTCCTGCTGTGCTATGGCCCCTCTGTGAGTCCGCTCAAGTGGCCACAAGGAGGAAAACACTGAGAACAGGAGTGCTGGGCCCAGGGCTGTTCCAAGGCTAAGATTCTGTTCCTTCTCTTGCTCCAGTTTGCTTTTTCTTCTACTGGAAGTGAAAGTGGGTCACAGTGAGGACAAGATGAGACTTAGGCTACTCTTGTGGAGGACAGTGCCTCCCTCCACCCCCAAAGCAAACATTCAGGGGTTAATTCTGACTCACTCAGTGGTGACTTGGCTTACGTAGTGCGTGCTGCTAATGGAAATGAAGACATGAATGAATTCCAGGAATGGCTGGATTTTTCTACCGGAACAATTTGGAGCTTATTAGTCAAGATGCAAATTTTTGTTTTCCAAAGAACTGTCAATGTCAGAAATTAAAATTAAAAACTAGAGCTGCTAAAAATTACATACTAATCTTCCATTTCCCAATAAACCACTATCATTGTAAAACATGGGATTTACTAGCTAGATGTAATCAGTCTTGAAAATATTTTTGTTCCTATTATTTATATACTTTAATCAGGATCAAACATGAAATAAGACTAAAATCCGTTTTCTCTAACATCTGTTTGTTTTCCATTACAAATGTGTGGCATTCTGTCACCTCACTGGTGATCATGGAGCACTGTAGCAGGAAGGCAGAATTCTCCCAAGGACTTACTGTATGCAGACACTTAGTGTGGGCTATGTTCCTTAACGTTTAAACAGTTTTAAGAAATGGGGACTCAGGGATGGGGAGATGGCTCAGTGGCCAACAGCACTGGCTGCTCTTGCAAAAGAGAACCCCAGTTCCGTTCCTGGCCCCTGTGTGGTGGCTCACAGCTATTTGTGTGAACTATACAGTTCCAGGGATTTAGCACTTTCTTTTGGCCTTGTGTGCGCATGGTGCACAGACATGCATGCAGGCAAAGCACCCGTACACATAAAATAAAAAAGAGATAAATCTTAGAAAAAAAGGTGTATTGTTTAAAAAGCCCATTTTTAGGGCTGGAGAGATGGCTCAGAGATTAAGAGCACTAGCTGCTCTTCCAGAGGTCCTGAGTTCAATTCCAAGCAACCACATGGTAGCTCACAACCATCTCTAATGATATCTAGTGCCCTCTTCTGGTGTGCAGGTGTACATGCACACAGAACATTGTAAGCTCAGTAAATAAATTTGAGAGAGAGAGGAAAGAGAGAGACCCTTTTTTTGGCCAGCAGTTTGGAGTTGAGCCCCTTGCTGCACACGCCGCCCCCCGCCCCGGTTAAACACATAGTGACCATATATGCGATGGAAACAC